GCCGCCCCTGCCCCTGCCCCGCCACCCCTGACGGTCGCCGTCGGCTGGTGCGCGTCGCCGTTGCCCGAGAGGTTCCATTTTTCTTGGCGGCGGTGGCCGCGGCACCGGTGGCAGCCCCTCCTCCTCCTCCTCCTCCTCCTCCTCCTCCTCCTCCTCCTCCTCCTCCTCCTCGTCATCGCCCGGGGCCCCTCCTCCATCATCGTTGTCGTCGCCGTCTCTCGAAGGGTGGTCGTCGTCGCGCCCGGGGAGCCCGCTGGGGCGTGGCGGACGTACGTCCTTTGGTGTTGTTGTTCCCGGCCGCGGGGATCCGCCCTCCCCTTTCCTGCCGTTGATGATGCCGCTGCTGCTGCTGCTGCTGCTGCTGCTGCCCGGAGTCATCGGCAGCGGCGCGCCTTGAGGCCTCCCGTCCGACATGGTAGTTCAGGAGGCCACCTGCCTGCACTTTTCCCTTCTGCGTCACCTCTCTCTCCCTCCTCCGCCTTGTCTTCTCGTTTCGCGAATTTTGTTCTTTTTTTAGGTTCTTGGTTCTTCTCTGTAGCCTTCCTTCCGTACCGAAAGTTGTGGTTCCTTGATCCGCCCTTTTTCCTTGTATTTGGTGTGTGCACGCGCTGGCTGTTGCTGCTGCTGCTGCTGCTGCTGCTGCCGCTGTCACGCGGAATGGGCTGCTCTTGAGCGAAGGAAACGAAACCTGAGGCGGGGTACCATGGCGGGCGAGAGTAAGTGGGGCGGGGGGGGTGGGGTCTGTTGTATAGGATATAGTGTGGAATACTTGAATCTACATGCTTAATTGTATGGAACTTAGGGTTACATACTAAACACTAAATACGCCATATTGTAAAGGATTTAACATGGAAATACTTGAAACCAATAACCCCGGTATGATATGGGTTTTAGAATGCGACACGAAAAAAAGGCCTATCGGACACAGTATGGCCATACATGAACCTATACACCCACGTATTATATGGCTTTTAGTATGCGATACTAAAGCCAACAGGATGTAAGTATGACCATACTACAGCCAATACAATAAAGACTATAATACGGGTCCAAGAATGGCACGAAAGCCTATACAGTGAAGATTATATTGGTTTTACTATGGACACAATAAATCTTGTACAGTAGACTGCTGCGAAGTGGGCCGCGCCATGTGGCTATCCGGCGTGTCAATCTTGGTCCGGGGGGGGGGTCGGCGTGCTCCATTACTTCAACACGGAGGGGGCCCCTTGGGGGGGCGTGAGCTGGCGTAGGAAAGAGTGGAGTCGGAATAGCATCTTACATCAAAGTCACGTGCATATTGACTTTGTTCACTTCACCACATCAAATAGCGAAATGAGCATTCCTGTGGAAAAACATGTGTACTCAAAAGTCATGGGTGGTGAAGGTCAAGAGAGTTTTATTAGTTCTGGCATTGACAGATGTCCACGTTGATGTGTTGGTACAAATATATGTACATGTACCATTTCGCCATTTTTCGTGCTTCGGGACATCTTTAGCTGGCGGAAGCGAGTCTTTTCTCACGCTTCCTTCTCAGGGGCACGCAGGGTGTCGTGGGTACATTACCGCGCACCCCCGAGGACCGCCAGCCACCCCGTGGCGCATGTGCTTGACGCTCAAAGTTGAAAAAACTGGTTCTATACACCGGGGACGTGTTCCGCGCGAAGAAAGCCTTCGCAAGAAATACGAAAAAAGTGTTTAGCATCAACAGGAACAGGAAGACTTACTGTTTCCTGCGCAACGCACACAAGTCCCACAGACCATGGGCAACACGAATCCGTAAAGAGCGAGTGATCAAACGCAGCGGATTGCAGCAGTAGCACCTGCAGCAGCGACGCCACTAGCCTACAAGCACACACTTCATGTACACCGAAAATCACAGCGAGAAAAAAAATTACATCCCGCACATCATGCAAATTCCAGGAAAATTCTTCAGGTTGTGCACAAAACCGGCACTCACTACCGAACGTCCTGACGTTGAGATGGAATAATGCATCCGCGATGACATTGGCCATGCCCTCTAGCGTCGCTGCCGGGAGGCAAGCCACCTAACTCTCGACGGGGAGCTTTTTGTACGTTTACATTATATTATCGGAAAAGATGGATGACATCGCTTGTGTCCTGCGTGAACGCGCTTGCTCGTGAGTGTATATTCAGTTCTGCTGACTTGTTGGCTGGGGGTAGATAAAAGGATGTGGCACAAAAAAAAACTTTCTCGCTGCAAATACTGAACAGCCTGCTGCATCGCAGAGTAACTCTTTCTCTGTGTGACCAAAGGAAGAAATGCATAACTCCTTCCTGTAAGCGCAACATCATGCGGGACCGCGCGGAAGGCACATACATACAGCAAAACAACGTCTTGACAAAAACAACGCAGAAAAGAAGAGGATACGCGGAGAGTCCATGCAGCAGTTCTTCATGGCGCCGAAGCACACACGCAAGAGAGGCAGGGGTGGGGGGGGAGTTCGGCGTTACACGAGTCTCGTGCAAGACGAGCACCGGCTAGCTATAATACAAGGAAGCGCACGCCGCCGGCGAAACCGGCCACCCTGAGCACCACCGCTGCTGCCGCCGCCGTTCACGCCCGCAGCGTCCATGCAGCCAAAAACATACGCCCATCCATCTTCGCCCAACAAAATCCTGAAAATCAACAAACTATCGCCGCGCCCACAAGAGGAACAGTCAACTCTGGGGCAGCAACAACACTTCCGGCGCTCTCGCACATAAAAAGAAGTAGCACACATCGAGAGCGCGTCCTGGTGCGTGAAAGTGGCCGGTGGTTTGCTCTCACGCCGCCACTTCTCGAGAGACTTACACAGCTCGGTCGCAAAATCGCAAAAAACCTCCAGCAGTTTTTGCAGAGTGTCCGGCTGACGGATTTCGCTCAGTCCGTCCATTGGCGGAGCTGGAATGATCCATTTACATGTCTTGTTTGTATCGGTACAATACCGTCCAGTGATGTACATATGCGTTTCACAAAGACCACACAGCCATGCGAGAAGGAACTTCTTGCGCTTGTAACGTCAAGATTGACACATTTTTGTCGGAAAATCTTTACATGGGGAATTGTGAACTGCTGCTGTGCAGAGTACCTACTTCCCAGGCCGCCTGCCACCGGTCGTTGTAAAAAATGCAATCACACAGCGGCGTGGTGTTCTGAAAGGTGTGGCATGCACATGTTCAATTGCGGTACAATAGTAGACCACAGGGGTTTGGTTTCGTGATTTGTTTCCCACCTACAGATACATATTACACAAAGAGAGACAGAGAGATGAGTGATTAAAGAATGCGTTTCCCACCTTAAAATATAAAATACGCCAATGTACACAGAGAGAGTTACAAAACCAGCGAGTTGGTTCCAACGTATACACAAGGCAAGAGCGGCAAACGCAACACCGAACCGAAAAAAAGCCCGTGGGTCACAGCTCAGAGCGCACCTTCCAAGCGCGTATGGCAAATCGTTTGTCATACAGAAGACAGAGCAGTCTGGAGGCGTTTCGCAATATGATGAACGCGTGTTTTTGTTGGCACACGGAAAGTGGTGTCCCAGCCACCCACCCTCGAGAGCTTGCGTTTTTTGCTTGGCCTGCACTGCTGCTGTCACGAACAATAATTTCTGCCCCCTTCATTAATAAATGCGTCTCCCCTGTACGGCTGCGATCTCACCCGCGGACCCCATGCACGACGGGACCGCGGACAAAAAAACTCCTTCGAGAGGAACCCAACCTTAACCCTCTAAGTGTACCTGTTCACGTCACTCACGCCGCCTCCTGTACCAGTAGACTACATCTCATCGAATATTTATTCCCTACAAACTTTGTAGCCTAGACTACAAGTACAGATGTTGAAAAATAAAAGGGTGCCTAACTTTGTTGTGTTGAAAAAGGAAGGAAGGAAGGAAGGGTACAAGCACGTATCACATCATATGCGTAACACTATTTTAGGTGTGCATCCACCCACCTGTAGACAGACTCCTCCGTCTTATGGGCCATGCTGCAGATGAGGGAACACCGCCGGGGTACAACTCGGGGCTGAGGGACTCAAGAAGAGAGAAGGTAGACCGCGTGCTGCTATCAAAAACGTACCATCGTTACAGCCTTAGACTACGTACTGCTGTAAACACCAACACATGCTTGTGACGAAGCGATCGTGGAGAATCCTTGTATTAGACAGAAGGACTTTTTTTGCTGTGGTTATTACGTATCACACCATGCATACGCATAGCATATGAATGAATCCTACGCGTATGCCCTTTACTTGTAGGCGTACGAAAAACGCCAGCAAGCAGTCATTCTAAATCCTTTGCATACGCGCATGTACAGCAGTATAACCACAGCAGTCATTGTCTAATACATGACTTTCGTGACAAGGAGACACAAATGCATACATTCCGCGTATGTAGAGAACTGCCATTCATGTTATGTATACCCGGCGGTACCGGGGGTGATGCCCCTGCTGCTGCTACACATGAAAAAGAGTGCGGGGAGAACGATCAAAGGCCAGCATGAACGGGGTACAGCAGCCCCCGGCGACTAAAACACTGAAACACACCCCAGCCTTTGGTCTGCGGAGCCGCGAAGCTCAGAGTGAGACAGACGTGAAAGATTGCTGCTAGTAGTTAGCGGCTCGGCCCACCAATCAATCAAAAACATCCAGTTGGTCGTTGTTGTTTTGTATCTACAAATACCTCCCTCGGAATATTGCTGCTGACGGCGTAGACTATCAAATACGAGCACGCACCCCCCGAGTGCCCACGGCGAGGAAATACGTGCTGGTCTGCTGCTGCTGTGTGGTGGTGTAGAAATCTGTGTCCTCCCTGTTCAAGGATATATGTACACGAGCTGGCGAATTACGGCAGTACACCACCTCCTGTGACGTTCAAAGAAGGAGTAGTGTGGTGTGCCGCCGTGCAGAGAGATCGTACGTAGATGATGCACCACAATCCACGAAGAAAAAAAACTAAAGAAGAGAGGAGAGACTTGATTGAGTTTTAGGTGCTGTCTTCGTCGGCGGCGCGACCGCCGCGTGACTCGATCTCAGCGGCAGGTTCAAAACCCCTCGAGAGGGCTCGTTGATAGTACAGGACGGAGGGAACGAACCATTGAAGCAAAGTCTACACGTCGACTCTGGCGATTGACAAACTATGTGCCCACAATACAAACCGTGGTGGTTGTTCAGTCGATCGGATCGAGCGGGTCAGTCTAAGAGTCTAAATGGAGAGAGTTTGCAGCAACAACGTCGCGAGAGAGAGAGCGCGACAATAAACTCAGGGTTGTTTGTTTGCGAGGTGTGTGCGCGAGAACGGATCAAAATTGGACACGCGGGGGCGAGAGCGCGCCGGGGCGTGTGCGTCAATCACGCTCTCGGCGACACCCGTGTGCGTCGTAAAAAAAAACACGTCGTAGGGGGTCGTCCCTAAACCACGTCTGGATGCTAGACACCGCACAATGCCATACGCACGATGTAGAAAAAGAGAGCAAATATACGAGGTGTGTGTTGATTCTATAGTGTACAGGAACGAGGGGGACAGCAGCAGTCAACATGACAACTCAAAAACAAAAAAAACTCGAGGGCGCGTCTCTCAATTTTGTTCGGCGAACAGACAGGAGGAAAAAAAGAGAGGGCTCCCTATAGGGAGAATCTTCTCGCTCACCTCGCTATTAACCTTTTGTCGCCGCGTACGGCTGTTCGGCGACACACCCCGCCCGTTCTTTCTGGCCCCGTGTACAGAGCACGTGCACACACCACGTTCGGAGCGGAAAAAAAAAAAATGCCGACAGGCCGGAGGGGTCTCAACAAACAGGATTGGGGGGGGGGAGGCAGGTGTAGGGTTCCGCCGCACTCTCCTGGTAGTGGCAAACGTGGGTGCACTCACCAGTTTTCTCTCTTTGCTTTCGTGTGCGGAACACAGGGAGGGGAAAGCGGGCACGAAGCAATGTCTTGGGAGCAGTACGCGCCGACGTCGGAGTCGCAGCTGGCGCGGCTCTCGCGCCTGAAGACGGCTTGCGGCGGGGAAGAAGCCGAGGCAATTGTGCGGCGCAATCAGCAGCAGCAGCAGGAGCGGGCTCCGGCGACGATCCCGACTCTGGGAGACTCCGCAAAGCCTTCGGGCATAGCGGCCCTTTACAAGGACTCTTATTACGGCGGGAGGGGTGGCAGTGACACTGCTGCTGCCGGTGGCGGTGGCGGCGGCGTCGGTGGGGGTGACGAGCTGGGAGGGAGTGCTCGCAGGCGGGGTGCCGAGCTTAGGGAATACGCCCGAACGTGCCAGGCTTTCGTGGCAGACATCGAGCGGGCGGTGCACCTGCTGGACACCATTGCACAGCAGCAAGAGCAGGTATTTTGTGTGCGTGGGGTGTGTGGGATGTGGTGTAATAATTCGTGTCGTGTTGTTGAATGGTGCAACGCGTGTAGTTGTAACAGTGCCGACTGCTGGATATTACCCTGTGCATAGCGGACAGTTCACGCTTCCCAGAACAAATGTAGGAACACGGCAGGGACGGGTTTCCACCTACAGCAGCACCTGCTCATTCATGCTGTTGTTGCGAATGGCTCTCCCACTCAAAGGATTCGTACGAGTGACTTCATACACCTGCTGATACACGTGCGTTCGTTTGTGTGCTGATTTTGGTTCGTCATTGTACAGCATCGCCTTGCCCTGCGGTATAGTATATACTACCTG